TTTTTTTTTTTTTTTTTTGAGACAGGGTCTCATTATGTAGTTGAGACTGACCTGGAACTCACTATGTAGCCCAGGCTGGTCTCGAACTCACAGTGATCCTCCTGCCTCAGCCTCCTGCGTGCTAGGATTACAGGCGTGCGCCACCACACCCGGCTTAATTCATTAAGTTTATTGGTACATTTTAGGTAGACAGTATGATGACATTCATCATTGGGAATTTGTACCTTTACATGATGAATCTTGGTTCTTATTTTTTCCCCCATTCCCCTGCCCTCCTTTCAACCACTGCATCCCTCCCTATTTACAAAGACTTTGTTTCTGTTTTTTCCTTTTCTCATATTTATTCTTTTCCCTTCTTTCTTTTCCCCTACCCTTCCTACTTTCCCTTCCCCTTCTCCTTTGGACCTTTTCTTCCCATTTCACATTATCTATTATATGTTTTGATCTTCATCTGCAGAAACTGAAAGTATAAATGTTCAAAACATTTTTTAATATTCTTTATCTTATGACTTAGGTATCTGAAGTGTTTTGCTTGTGCTCTCTTTTGTTTCTGCTGGCTGTTATGTGTAACACTCCTTGTTTATTAATTTTGACTCTTGAGTGGTTTAATTTTCTTGGAAATATGGTCATGGAGATTCTTTGTATCCTGAAATAAAAGAGCCTTCCACAAAGAATTTGCATTTGCTTTTGTTATACATTTGGACCTTACCAATCCAGGGTCACTTTACATAATATTATCTTCAGGTTTTAAAAAATTGTTTTTAACCTACTCCATAAGTGCACAGACTTGAGTGAGGGCCAGCTTGTGGTTACAGAAATTGTGGTTACATTTTTTTTTCATTATCAGAGTATAATTTTCTCCTGCTCTACTCACTGCCAAGTTTAGAGATTGTTAAAGGATGCAGTTTCTTGCGGGGTGGGAGTGCATAGTTTATTTTAGTTCCTTCTTTCAACAAGAGTATGCTATTGGGCCCCGATTTTATGAGGGCTCTGATACAGGACAATCCTACTTGGGTGGTCCCTGAGTTTTATCTTCTGTCTCCAGAGAATGAAAGTGCGCGCTCTAGTTTGCAGGGTCCAGAAAAGGCTTGGAGAGCAAAGCTGACACGTCATGGCTTTCCTCCTCCGTGTTCCTCGTTCTTTTGCAGTCACATGGGTGCATCCAAGGTGCTTTTAGATTTTCATCTGGCATTTTTTAGAATTGTCAGGGAGAGTTGGTCCTGAAACTTAGTCTGCTATGTTGCCAAAAATGCAACTCTTTTCGAAAAAAATATTTCGTCATATTTTTTGGACCCTGAGAAATCCCTACTTAGGTCCCTATCACCGATGTGTGGAGGTCGGCGGAGTTTCCACACTCAGTGGCTCTCCTGGGTCCTTGAACTTGGCATTGTCACTGGTGAGGGAGGAAAAGCAAAAGCCACTCAGGAAGAAATGTTAAGGAAGTCCATAGATGATAAAAGGAAAATACAGAGAAAAAGGAGATGATATATTAACCCTTCACTTAATAAATATTAAAGCATTATGCTCGTGTTTCACTAATGTTATCATAATACTGTAGTCATAATGACAGATTATTTTAACAAATGATACCACAGCTAATATTAATGCAAGTAATTTAGGGTTTTTTTAGTTAGCACTAATTTATAGGTGAAGATACAAAGGTTTAGAGAGCACTTTCAGATTCAGGGTAAGATATGGGCATTTGGTGCCCTATTTAAATGCATGCTTGCTTTGCCTTCTAACGTCCTCAGGAAGAAAGTTCTAACCTCTGCAGCTATCACTCTTTTAATGCTAACCACAACCCTCTAAAGTAGGTTCTATTATTATTAACATCAGCATGACACCCGTCCTAGAAACAAGAAAACTGCGGTTAAAGGAGCTGAAGTAACTTGTCCACAGTTCTACACAGACAGGTGAGGGGCTGGGACTCTAGCCTGGACGATCTATTCCTGTTGTCTATGTTTTCAGCTGCCAGGCCACAGCACCTTCAGAATGAGCCTGGTCTTCAAGAATGGGAACACAGCAGAGTCTGCTTCGGGGCAGCATTAGGACTTCTTGCTAACGAGTAGCTAGGGCACAACCAGCAGAGTCGGAGCAGTGAAACAGGTGAGGGGACGAAGAAAGAGTTGGTATGTTTCAGAACTCTTGATTTTAAAATAAATTATGGGGTGGAAAAGATATCTGCCAAGTTTGATAACCAGATAGAAAACGTGTGTGTGTGCGTGTGTGTGTGTGTGTATGTGTGTGTATGTGTGTGTGTGTGTTACCAACTGAATAGGAATGAAGAGATCAGCAAAGAAAGATACTTCTCACTGGGTCTCAGGAAGACCTACTATCAATATTTTCTTGGTTTAAGTATTCATTTGTTATGTTTTCCTAGAAGGTCAACTTTTTTAGATTCACAGATGAATGAAATATTTGTCTTTCTGTGCCTGGCTTATTTTACTTAACATAATGCCTTCTAGCCTTGTCTCATATGAACTGGATTTTATCCTATTTAAAAAAAATGACTGTACTACTTTGATTTCTTTCTTTGAGATGAGTGTGTGCATTAGTCATCTTTTTGTTGTGGGAACACAATACCCAACATCGTGACTTAAAAGAGGGGACGTTTAACTTGGCTCAGTTTCTTAGGATTCAGTCCATGGCTGGCCGGCCCCAAGGCAAGAGCATCGAGGCCAAGAGCTTGGCGGAGCCAAACTGTCCTGTGCACGGCAGCAGGGGAACAGTACCAGATTAGAAGGGCCCAAGGGCCAGATGTACACCCCGAGGTTGTGCTTCTGTGATCCAGCCAGACTCACCCAGAAGTGAGTGTTAGGAATCCTGCAGCGAGTGTCCGTCACCACCACAGGGTGGGTGTAAATTTTAGGCTTTGATCTTAGATGTTGGCCTTGCTCATGGTCCATGACAGGGCATTTGTTCCCTGCTGGTTTTGTGTTATTATTATCAGCACCGAGCTTCACTTTTCATTGGTTTATTTACTCTTAACACCCACTCAGAAAAGTGAAGTTCAATTATTATTGATCCTGAACCAATAATAGGAATCAGAACCTTCCTGTAGCCATGTCATGCTCATTTTCTCGTATTTATGTACTGAAAGCAGAGCATTACAAACTCATTTTCTTTGTGTGTAATGGTCTTTTCCTAAGACAAGATCATCACAGTATTGTCCTTAAAGAAATTCTCCATATAATTGGGGTCAACTTCACATATAGGTTTGTGTCAGTATTTTCACTTAACATGACATTACCTGCATTTTCTTTTTTGGCTTTTTGAGACAGGTCTCACCACGTAGACCTTGAATTCTTGATACTCCTGCCCAGCCTCCTGAGTGCTTTATATTAGGCAAGTTGCTTAAACTCTTTAGCATCAGTTTCCCTTATAGGTACCAACATGGACAACAATCTATTTCCTTGGATTATCCATGCGGAGGAACCAAAAATAGTGAGATCTGTAATATGCTTTCAGTCAACATTTTCTTTATCAGTTACCCTGATTTGTGAAAAGCATACTTTAAAGAGCACGAAATGCTGTTTTATATGTTTATGCATCTAAATAAATGTGTTTCAGAGAGAACAAAGTGATTATTTTTATATGGAGGTGTCATGTGCATTTACATATGGATATATACAAAAGATTTATGGCTTCTCTGCTTTATCTACAGAAATTCTGGGCCATGATGGGCTTGTTGATTATATTTTGTCTTAGATGGGTTCAGGCTGTAGCTACTTGGACAGGGTTATAAAAGTCAAATGTATTTTCGATGTCTTATAATTAGTTGGTCAAGTTTGTCAACAACTAGGAATCTTAGACAGGGGTCTATGACAACGTGGTCTTTTTTTTTTTTTGAGACAGGGTCTCACTATGTAGTTGAGATTGACCTGGACTCACTATGTAGCCCAGGCTGGTCTCGAACTCACAGCGATCCTCCTGCCTCAGCCTCCCAACTCACGTGGTCTTAAATCTACCATAGCTGAGATGCTTCAGGGCTCATATCTATTAGGTACATAAACATAAGGCCTCAGGCCCATAATACTTTTTGGGGCACATAAAATTGTTTTAATTTAATTTAAAATCAGAAAAAAGTGAACTTTAAGGTCAAAGACCATTTATCAATATATGATATTAATACGTTCATCTTTATACAAAGACAGTTGTAAAATATAATACTTATTAATTTTTACAGAGGAAAGACTCACTATAGGAGCCATAATAGAGTGCTGGATGCTTTCATGATATTTTAGATTTCTCTGAGCAGGTGAGGTGGGTGTATCAGTGATGTGTGAACCGGTTTCTTCTCCCTTTGCTGCTATGTGCGAGGAAAGGTAGTTCCTTGCTGGGGTCACAGTCCCATTTCCCAGAATGAGTCTTTCTGTTTTTATCCCTTGCCCCCTTGAGAAAGGAAAGCAAAGCAATAAAAATAGGTGTTTATAGCAAGCCTCAGAATCTCCTAGCATAAGACTAGAATCTTGGGAGCAGAGATTTCCCTCTTATCCCATACTTATGTAAATTACTTATGTAAATTTAATACACAAACTCCTCCATGAATATTAATGAATTTGTAAAAGAAGGTTTGGGGGAAAATTCAACAACAGCCCCCCCCAAAAAGGGGGGGGGTAATACGATTTTGACTGAATAAACGAGACAATGTGAACTGCTTAAAGATAGGAACTGCGGGGTAGAGCTGACTTTCTAAGGTATAGAAAAGCAGATCTTATGAGAAGGAAGCGGTGGCAGAAATGTCCCAGGATAGGGGATTCCGGTGGGAAGCAAGGCAGCCTCTTAAGCCGGTTACAGTAAAGATAGAGAAAAATGGAGACCTGCCCTGCGATCCTCAGCCAAACCGCTGCTGCTCTCACGAGCTCCGTTAACCATAAAGGCAGCCTTGTGTGGAGGGAGTTTACACTGGCTGGAGAGGAAAGATAGAAGTGTGTTCTCCCACCCCTGGGAGGGAGGGTTTAGTTTTCACTTGGAATTCATCATTTTCTTTTAATCATAACTCACCTGAGTAACAGCTAACACACCAGGAGCGGTTAGTCACTCTGTGCCGGACACCGGGCTGAACACTTGCGTGGTGGACTGTTGGGGTGGGTAGGACCTCTCGTCATCCCTGCTGTGCAATGGAAGGAAGGCAGTTTAGGGAGGCTGAGGTCTCATAGCTGGCCGAGGACAGATCTGGAGTTTGTACCCAGACAGTGCAACACCGGAGCCTCCATTTTCATCCTCTGCCGTTTCCCGGAGCAGTGACGGTGAACCTTTCAGATCTTTCAATGGTACAAGCAGCCCGCTGTGTCACACGGGCCGTATGTTTGCCACTGACCCAGAGGGACCCACCCACGACAGGAAATAGAAGCGAAATGCAGGACTCAGGGAGTCTTACGAGGTGAGTTCTGCCCTCCCCCACTGATAGGCCAAATTCTAACCCCAAGTACCCAGAATGTGACTTTATTTGGAGGTGGGGTCTTTATAGAATTAATTGAGATAAAATGAGATCATTAGGGTGGACTCTAATAAATGACTGGAGTGTATAACAAGGAAAATTTGGACACAGACGCATGTGCAGGGAGGAACATGAACACAGCCATTTTAAGCCAAAGAGAGGCCTAGAGCAGATCCTTCCTTTGGAGAACTCAGAAGGAATTTAACCGTCTGCACCTTAATTTTGGACTTCTAGCCTGCAGAACCATGAGTCAAAACATCTCTGTTGTTCAGCACCTCCCCTGGGAGGCTCTGTTATGCCAGCCCCTTAAGTTACTCAGGCTCTGAGATGTTTCTGTGTGGACTTGTCCTGTGACTAGGTAGGTACCCTCAGCACTACACTGCCAAGCCTGAACGCACTGTCCTCCTTGTAGAGAATGATTACATGTAGCAACTGGAAGCTTTTTTTGTTCTTTCAAGAAATTTGGACAAACTGATAACAAATGTGACTTAAGAATTTCAAATTAGCAGTGCAATTACCTAGAAATGATAATTTGTGGTAAGACTTAATATGTAGTATAATTAAGTTGCCTTCCCTAACTTTCAAATAACTGGTTTCTTTTTCTTTTTCTTTTTTTTTTTGGTTTTTTTTTGAGACAGAGTCTCACTGTGTAGTTGAGACTGACCTGGAACTCACTATGTAGCCCAGGCTGGTCTCGAACTCACAGCGATCCTCCTGCCTCAGCCTCACGAGTGCTGGGATTACAGGCGTGCACCACCATGCCCGGCATAACTGGCTTCTTTAATGTCTGACATTATTAACCAAAAAATTTTTCCATCTCAATCTAAATATTTCATGATGGTAATGGTGATGGTAGAGTTGTTTGTTTTTAGGGTTCTTTGGGCACCATTAGGAAAGAAAGAAATTAATCTAAGCTAGTGTTTTAATTACAATAAAAATATGCCCACAATATGTCTAATGATGTGGTTCAGATTGTATCAGATGCAGAATTATTTTGGCACAGATAATTTGAGGGAATATTTGGTAAAACAACATAAAAGCATTTTTAAGGCATATGCCGTTAATGCATTTCTCTGTAAGACAGAATTTAAAGTATTATGTCCACAGCTGAATGCTGTTTTTATTTGCATACTAACGAAGGAAGTAGGTTATTGCTCCTAAATTTTGTCCTCCTCCCAGCATACCAGACAGGATGTTCATACTGCTCTGCTGAGGAAGTCATCCTTGACCACCTTACTGACCGGTGCCTCCGCGAGAGCCGCTTGTATTGCAGGGTTCCCAAGTTCTTATTTAGTATTTGTGTGATTCTGCTAGTCCTCAGGGGCTGTAGCTGGGAAAAGTGGTTTTACCAGGAGGAGAAAAAATCCCAAATGTTTCTTCTTTGATTAATTCCGATTGTTTTGAAATAATTTGGTAAATGAAATTCATAGGTGAAAACAATTCCTTAAGATTCCTATTACACGGCCAAGGATTTAGCTCAGTGGTTCCGCTGCCTGCCTTGAAAACACAAGGTCCTGAGTTCAATCCCTGGTACCAAAAAAAAAAAAAAAAAAAATTCCTATTACACATGTCTTCAAAGGAATTGGTCATCGCAAGATATTTTATTTTAGTTGTGATTTGAAAATAAATATAGGTAGGACATATTTAATCATATGCAAATTATAATGT